AACGCAAAATCCGGGAACATAACACCGATATGACGGAAACTAGGGCAGCAAGAGTGGAACAAAACACTAGGCAAAAGGCCGAGCCTTCCACCCTTTACCAAGTATATAGATGCATTAAGATAACAAGATAATATAATGATATCCCAACAAGAAAATAATGTTCCAACAAGGAACGATCTCCAATCTTCACCTGCAACTAGCAACGCTATAAGACGGGCTGAGCAAAGCGGTAACATAGCCAATCAACGGTTTGCTAGGACATGGTGGGTTAGAGGTTTGGCATGGCAATTTGGGAGGCATGATAAGCAAGTGGTAGGCAACGTAGCATAGGCATAGCAAAAGAGCGAGCATCTAGCAAAGCAAAGATAGAAGTGATTTCGAAGGTATGATCATCTTGCCTGCAAAGTTGTCAGAGTTGACTGGATCCTCAAAAGCAAACTCAACGGGATCCTCGTTAGCGAACTCGTCTCCCGGCTCTACCCAAACAAGACAAACAAGCAAAAGGAACACAATCAACCACGTGCAAATGCTTGAATAACATGATGCAAACATGGTATGCTATGCGGTATGCGATATGTGATGCATATGCAAGATTTGACAAGGAATGATTGAACCTGGCCTCAACTTGGAAATCCAAGTGTGCCACTGGAAAGGTGAGGTGATTTCGGTTGAAATCGATATAAAGAACACCGGAATCGGAGACACGGTTTGGAAATGGCAAGCAAAACAAATATGGCACCGGTCTGCGATAAACAGCAAGTAGCCATCTAAATGCATTGAGATAATTATGCTCCAGCACTCAAACATGACAACAAAATACATGGAAGGGATCCACTCATAATGCTTGACAAAAGATGAACACTGAGCTACGGCCAATTCATCCATTAACAGGTTCAAAACAAGCATGGAAAAAGTGCAATTGGTAAACAGGTTTCAGACTTAGTGAAATTAACACAAGCCTGGAATTTCAGATCAGGTAGCACACTTTGGAGCATGAAAACTATATGCTACAGGAACTTAACATGACAAAGAAAAGCATGGCATGGAGCTACTGAAAGAGCTTAACAAAAGTCCCTTAGTGACCTTGAGCCAAAAGGGATCATAAAATACAATTGCAAGCATGTGAACATGGCAAAAACATAATCAGAACTCGGACTTGGAGAAAAACTGGAACATGCAAATTCTCTTAACAAGTAGGCATGTTTACGAGCTCGATGCACTCACTACAGAGCAAGGAATGACAAACTAAGCATACACCCATCAAGAACACACATTATATAAGCTAGACATGGCAAGAACAACAACATAGCATGCACGGATCAACAACAACATCCTCGGCAAAATCGCTAACAAGTAGACAATCTGCCCAGATTCACGAAATAGCAAAAGTAGAGCTCGATTGACTCAATCTAGGGTGCTCCATAAATGCAAACAAAGACATGGATGGATAGAGCACTACAAGATTAACAAATTATCCTTACTAATCATCCTCAAAAGAGGCATGGATCACTAGGAAACAACATGAACATATGGCATAAAGATAAAAACAGACCAAGGACTTAGTGGAATTTCTAAGTCCCTGAAATCAGCATTAACGAATGCACCACTTTGCAAGCTTGTGCTAGTCACCACACATATCACAAAAATACATGGATAGCACCTCTGGAAAGATGGCATGGCATGTAACAAAACACATGTAGAGCTCAGGAGCATATCATGCACACATTAATCATGGCAAAAATGACAAATAGCTATTTGGTGCAGCAGATCTGACAAATAACTCAAATAGCTCTCTTCCAACAGCATGTCGGGCATTAAGATGAGCTCAAATGAAAATGATGCAATGAGATGAAATGATGTGCTCTCTGAGACGAACATTTTGATATGCTACACGCCTAAAATGGATCTACGGATGCGGACATATAGCATGATGAAAAATGCAAAATGTCTAGGGTTTCGGGAGGAAAGTCAACCGAATCAGACCTGGATCTGGGAACACTGTAGCAGCACGGACTTCGAGGTTGAACATCGCCGGAGTCAACATCGCCGGAGGAAGGAGGGGAAGGAGCTTCCCGGACTTGGGCCGGCCGGAGCTTCGCCGGACGACGAGGAGGACGAAGGCGGTGGTGGTGGTGTCCATGGCGCCGGTGAGAAGCTGTGGCGGCGCCCGAAGCGGCGAAGTGCGGCGGGACCGACGCCTGCCGGCGACGAGGCGCTCCATGGCAGAGCGGGAGGCCGGCTCTGGGCCTGGCGGGCCCGCGCGGTCGGCGGCGAAGTGGGCGCCCGCCCAGGACACGTGGCGCTCCCGGAGTGGCCGGCGGGGGAGCGGACAATGTCCGGCCTGCAGGATTTCGTCCGGCGGCGGGGGGGAAGATGGATCTAGGGTTTAGGGGGGAGAAGAACTGTGAATTTCGGAGGGGGTGCTATTTATAGACATAGAGGGAGCTAGGAGTGTCCAAATGAGGTGCGGTTTTCGGCCACGCAATCATGATCGAACGCTCTAGATGATGGAGAGAGTTTTGGTGGGTTTTGGGCCAAATTGGAGGGGTGTTGGGCTCCAACACACACGAGGCCTTCTCGGTCCCTCGGTTAACCGTTGGAGTATCAAACGAAGTCCAAATGGTACGAAACTTGACAGGCGGTCTACCGGTAGTAAACCAAGGCCGCTTGGAAAGTCTTAGTCCAATCCAGAAATGTTTAACCCCCACACACGAAAGGAAGGAAGAAAGGATCACCGGAGGAGATAGGAGCGCCGGAATGCAAAACGGACAACGGGGAAAAAGCTCGGATGCATGAGACGAACACGTATGCAAATGCAATGCACATGATGACATGATATGAGATGCATGACAACGACAACAACACACGGAGACAAAAACCTGAACCCAGGAAAAAAATAACTTAGCGCCGGAAACGGCAAGAGTTGGAGTACGTATTAGGTAAATTGCATCCAGGGTGTTACACCTTCGCTGTCGTCGTCGCCTTCTTCACGCGCTCCAAGGACACCGTCTTGTCCTTCACCATTGTGGCGGAGTGCACACGGGCCGAGCGAGGGCGTCGAGAGCGGATGAGGGCACGGTGGAGAAGCAGAGGAAGGAGAGAAAGAATGAGGCGTACTCTGCATTGCATCGGCTTCGACACCTTTTATGGGCCTGCTTTCGAGTGGCTGGCCCGTGGGCCTAAGCAATCCTGTCATATCCTACAACAGTCGCTCACCCGATACGTGGCGAAAAATGCGGCACGGGGATCGAGGTGCCCCTCTCTACCCGCTCCGATTACTGCGGCCCGCTCCGTCTCGCGCGCTTCTCTAAATTTCGAATCCCGTGAGATCCGGGAACCGCAGGACAACCAATCGCGCCGAAGATTTCGCACCAGAACAACACTCGAGGATTATCAACATAATCCACTCGACGACCTCTTAATTGATCAAGGCGACTGAAACAAGGTTGAAGCTTCAGCACGATTTTCAGACTCCAATGAAATGCCTCCAAAGCATGCAATCAAGTCGGAACCAACTTCAACCCTTTTTCACTCGGACCTCAATCCATTCGGGGGCTAATGACGATGACATGTACCTAGGGTAGGGTCATAGGCCTGACCTAGACACCCTACCCAAGGATACTAGCCTAGAGTCAAAGACATTCAAAGTACAACCGAAGATACCGACTGAAATCACCTTGGAGTCCAATCCACTCGACTAGATATACCACTCAGATATCTCAATTAAACTCGACTAAGATAGAGTCATTTGACCATACGAAGAATCACTCGGAATACAGAAGATCTAAAGCCACCCAGGATGGCAACGGTCAGGCATTCACTCTGTAGTCTTAAAGGTCATTTATAGTCCTTTATAGCTAGCGTTACCAGTAATGCCTTGTCTTAACGAACATTGAACCCTGTGTAACTGAGGGCTAGAGGGTTCCGACGCACTCTATATAAGCCACCCCTCCCCTCTAGCACAAGGGTTCGCACCCCCTGTAACTTTCACGCATAATCCAGTCGACCAAGCCTCCGGGCACCGAGACGTAGGGCTATTACTTCCTTCGAGAAGGGCCTGAACTCGTAAATCCTGCATGCACATCCTCACCGTAGTTAGGACATTGCCTCCTCTTACATACCCCCTATTCTTACTGTCAGACTTGCTCCCACGACAATGCACTCCGCCCGGGAGCATTGGAGAGCGGCGCGAACGACCATCTGCTCCTCGAGGCTGCAAGGGATGAGCTCCCAGTCCTCGTATCCGGACATGTCTAAGTCGGATCCAGGCGCCGCCATGGAGAACACCAGGGCTGTTCTGAGAGGAGCTTGCTAGTGTGGGAGGGGAGGGAAGTGGAGTGGAATACGACCAGGGTTTCAGCCGAAGTGTGAATAGGGTTCATTTTATTTGGGCCGGAGTGGGCCGGATCAGACCTGGCGGGTGCGCCCGGACGTCCCTATATCCACCCAAGATCATCTTGGGATGGATATGGGAAGGGCCGATCAGTCGAGCGTTTGGGCTGGCTATGAGAAGTTCGGTTCGGTGACGTTTTTGCGTCCAGACACTAACCGGGCAGCCCGTCCGGACGTTATGGGTCTGGTTGTAGATGCTCGCATGCATTTCAGAATCAACTTTGACCATTTGTTTCGTCAGCAAAATATTTGCTATCCCCACAAAAAAATATTGTTATATATCAGTAAAAATACTACTAGTATAAAATTACATTCACTTTAGGGGCAAGTACTTTGTACTGTACATGCTCTAAAAGAATACGAGACCTCGAATACCCACGATCTCAAATTATTTGTTCTCGACTTTAGGGTCATAGCCGTAATTTACTTATTTTTAGTAGCGCGGCTGACCGGTGGGCGCCTCCATCTCCATGTATGACGCGATGATGTGCACACTCCGGAAACATGTCCACAGTCCACACTCAACTCCAATACAGTGCTCCACCCGATCTGCCGTGCCAGTATAAGCCTTTCCATCCTCGCGACGGCGAGAGCGAGACCTAGCAAAAATGGGGATGCAGCCACAGACAGAGCAAGGAGGGGGCGGCGCCGCCGCGGCGAAGGAAATGGAGGAGGAGCCGCACGTCGAGCGACTTCCCGCCGACCTCCTCGCGCACGTGCTCTCCCTCCTCTCCTCCTTCCACGACCTCGCCATGTACGTATTACTACCAATAATCATGGCCGCGCCATGGTTCCCAGGCTTACGTACGGCTCCATTGTGCCGAGTGATGACTCGCTTATATTCTGGTCGTCATCAGGGCCGGGGGAGTGAGCCGGCGGTGGCGCCAGGCGGTGGGACGGTCGCTGGCGACGCGGCGGCGACTAAGCTTCGCGGGACAGAGCACGGGCGACGACTCCGCCGCGCGCCTCGTCCGCGCCGCCGTCAACCTCCGCGACCTCGACGTGTGAGTAGATTGGTCGACCTGTTCCTGATCAGATCAAACTGCATTTTCAAGCTTATTTCTATATTTATTTTTTCTAACTCTGTCTCACCGTGAATTTTCTTGGTGAAGTTCGCGGGGCTGCTGGGGCTGCCACATCACCGACGGAGGGCTGCTGCAGATCTCCACGGCGGAGTGCGTCGGCAAGCTGACCGCGATCTCGTTGTGGGGATTGGCCGGGATCACTGACAAGGGCGTCGTTCGTCTGGTATATATGCTCTGTTTTCTCTTGTTCCTTTTTTGATGCAACTGCTTGGTTGTATTCTTCTGCAACGTTGATAGGATGGCATTGTCACGTCACGTGTATAGCACAAGGATTTCAATATGGAACTGTGAAGTCGCTGGATGTCGTCATATATTTATTAAGCCGGAGCGTTCGTGATAATTGGCTTTCAGATAATTGATCTTACACTTTTGCTTCGATATACCCCCTAAACACAAGAAGGGCTGAGATTGCTCGATATCCATTCGTAATCAGGGACATGATAGCCATATTATGAAAGAGAGGCCACCCGCCGCCCGCCCCACCCACGTCTTATACGTAAACGAATACATTAGTACAGAAACAAGGGCCAAATCCTATTTGGCGCCTTCTGCGCCCGATACAGGCGTTTTCACAAACGGGCGCACAGCCCCCTCCCTTTCCTTCACTACTAACGGGCCGGCCCATTTGTTTCTATATAATGCAAAAAAGGGCGCTCCAGCGAAGATCGAACCTGCGACCTCCTGTGGCCCATCTGTTTCTATATAATGCAAAAAAGGGCGCTCCAGCGAGGATCGAACCTGCGACCTGCTGCTTAATGAGACATTGCAACAACCACCGCGCCGCCTAGGCAACTATATACATTAGCGTATTTTCTCCCCTTTCTTCTTGCATCTTTCCTTTTTCCCTTTTTTCAATTTTTTCCAAATCCGAGAAATTTTCTTTCTTTACGTTTTTTTGAAATATTTGTTTTGTACAAATCGATCTTCATTGCCGAAATGGAAAGTTTTATATGCATTTGATCGATGAAAAAAACGTTGCGTCACGTGCAGCCAATGTTTTAGTGTTTTTTTCTCCGGGAAAATCCCAGGAAATCCATCGAGCGCCGGAAAAGGATGCAAATTGGCGTGCGTGCTGTCGATGTTGATGAGAACGTGTGGAAAAAGTTTCGGGCCATTTGACAGTGGTGAAAACAAATACTCCTTTGGAACCCCCCTTCGGAAGACCGAAACGATGCTGGTTGCACATGGTCTACGTGATCGCATGCATGCAATTGCGCCATACTGTGCAGACATGTGGGCAACTGTCCAAGACGTGGCCGGCCACTTCCCTAACCGCCGACCGCGACGTGGGAGACGACGGGGTTGGAACCGCTGGCGTGGGAGATCGGGATGGTTAGAGGCGGCTGTCAATGCGGAGAACGGCGACGTCCAACACCGGGCCGGCCACCGGCGACGGCGGTCTTCCACTCCTCAGCCCACCCGCGACGATCCAGATCAGCCGCCGCGTGATCGCCGTGCGGCAGGCCAGATCGATCGAGTCCTCGTGCAAGTATTTTTTTTCCTCTACTCGGGTGGCAGGCCAGATTGATCGAGTCCCTCTACTCGGGCGGCAGGTGGGATCGATCGAGTCCTCCTGCAAGTTTTTTTTCTTCTTATTCACATGTACTCGTATGACCGGGATTGTACGTCTACGATATAAGGTGGGTATACGTTTCTTCCGT